CATTTTATGTCTTGTAATTCAAACAATTAATTACTCAAACAATTTGTGTAATACAAATAATTTTTGTAACATGATCTGTGTATTAATACACAACAGATTATGCCCATATTGTTACCGAGTCGTTTCCAAGTTTCTCGAAATTGGTACCTGACGAGTATCTTTTCCATAAAAAATTGGTACGTGATGGAACATTTCTGATCTCATTTTCGCTGTCTGTGTATGTGATTTAGTAAAGAAAACGTACTTTCATCTCGCGGCAAGACACAAAGTTCAAATTCGTTGCACTGTGTTGCACTTATAAAAGAAAATTGATAAAATATGTTTTATGAAAATAGCGAAATGTGTAATGTGGTACTAAATGTGTAAAAATATGTAACGAGAAACGGGATATTGTGTTAGGTCGGCGACAATTCGCCAAGATTACAGTTTTGAGCACGGTAAGTGGAAAAAAATGTAATTACATAAAAATCCTCTCTACTAACGATATTGCTCACGCCCTTGACCAGCCCACAATGCCGCGCTGGCACTAAACGAAATGTCTTCGACATTGAGAAACGGAAACCGGATGTTTAGCCAAAATGTGCCCGCGGCATGCAAGCTAATCAGTGTTAGTTACGTGATTACCAACCTTCGACTATTTTTGACACACACTTCATTGAATGATGGATCAATTGAATGCGTTTGTTATACACCTAGGTAATCATATCAGTTTTAAATCATAATCCATGCTGAAGTCATGTGTGAATTAGCCCGAAAAAAAACAAAAATGCAGATGACTATCCTTGTTTCGTTTGACAAGACAGATCCCAGCGACTTGAAAATTATTATCATGAATGAGTCACTTGAAGACCACTGAAAGCCCTCTTGCAACATAATACGCCGCGTATTATGTATTGACAGCAGGTGCTTATGATTAAGCTTGATTTGTGCTCAAATGGTAGCATTTTAAAATTACATCTAAATATAACATTAGAAATAAAAAATAATAAAATTTAATTAAATTAATTGAACTGCATAATCGTAATTTTTAATTAATGTACGTTTTAATCGGCCTACAAATAATGTGTCGATTTATCGAATAAAATATACACCTAGTGAAGTAAATTCACTCTGCCTAAGTCTTCTTGAGCTCCCTTTTACTAGACATGATACAAGTGGAGGGTTAATTATTTGTTAGAAGTGTATTCAATTTCACATGGATGTGAATATTTATTTTCTTATATTAAAATGTTACTTTTACCTTAACTCATAATAGTGTGTAGTAAGAGAAAGTAGGAAATCTGGAGCTCAGAAGATATGTGCACCTGCATACATCATATTTCACTCATTATATAGATTGAAATTGTATATGTGACTCAATAAATAATAATAATAATAATAATAATAATAATAATAATAATAATAATAATAATAATATCAACGCTTGTCGTTCTATTTGTGATTAATCCCTCGTAACTAACTGTCAAAAAAAAAAAAATCGCGAAAAAATCCTTCGTACGCCTTCCTTCGGAGGGGAAGTAAAGCCGGCTGTCCCATGTTCGTAGATTTACTTGCATGTAAAAGATCCTCAAGCCTAAATGACGCCTCTGAGCTAAATTCAAATCGCCTGTTTCTCGCCCAAGTAATACCTCCTTTCTCTCCTTGTTGGTGAAAGGAGCGTAGCGAAATTTGCGTGGTCAGACGGAAGAGCGGGCCTGATGGCCCGAGTCTCGCCACGTAAAATAAGGCAAATTCAATCAATCAATCAATCAAAAAAATCAGAGATTTAGAATACCGGGACCCAATATTCCGCGCAATGAACAACTGTTTTCCATCCAGTGAACAGACGTACATAACCGGTGAGTAGAGATCCTAGCGTGCAACGACAGCACTACTAGTCATTCGTGATCACACTGCTTATTTCAGCAAGGGTTAGACCACCATGGCGTTAGTGAAAACAGCATGGCCGATACTGCCCAAATACTTCATATTTTTCCAGTAACTTATAGAGCGTGACGGCAGCTAATTTTGTCGTAGCACACACAAATAATAAATATCTTTCAATAGAACAATACATCAGGCTAAATTCCAACCTGCTCCTGTTGAAAGGTCCTTGTGAGAGTAGTTGATCTTATTTAACCCTTACAGATGAACAACTATAATTAAAAAACAGTATTTTCAGTAGCTGAAGGAAACCAAATTATGATACACAATATTATAGAGACTTTAAGGCTTTCTAGAAGAATCCTGTCCTAATGATGACTGAGAAAAGAAAGAGAAAATGTTACATTATAAAGTAAGTACAGTGATAAGCCAGAAACTCCAGATTTAATTTGAATGGGGAAAACGACATCAAATGGGGGTAATACAATTATATGAACGCTTGGGAATCAAATAATACACGTTAGGGCAACAAATAAACAAAGTATAGTATTCCGTGTTAGGGTGCCACAGAGCTGGACAGGGACCCGAATACGGGGTATGCGACGAATGGAAAGTATGGTTTGAAGGCTGTGATTCTGTGGGAAGTTGAAAATATTCAGTCTCTTAATATCTGCTGATCTGGACACATGTAAGCAATTGATGCGAGGTGAATGTTAGTTTTCATTATTGTCTGGGGTTATTTGTAAAAAGTATTGTATCGGGAAATGATTATTAGTGTTGATAGATTAGTATTGTGCAGGATAATAGTTCGAAGTTGTTAGTAATATTAAATTACAATTGTGATTTTCGTTCATGTAGCCGAAAGGCAAATAGACTCTATATTTCGGAAGAGATTTATGTCAGGATAGCTCCATAGATGTGGAGGATTTTGTACGTATGTCGGCTGGAAATAGATAGTCGGGCATAGGGGTTTCACCTGGAGCCTAGCGAGGGACAGTCGCGTTCGCGAAGTATTTTTGATAGAAATCATTGAAATATATAAAGTCAAAAATAGTCGAGGACATTCTGAGAATATATGATAATTTATCCGGACGATAGGCAGGAACAACGAGGACATCCCTTGGACAACGATTACAGCCGAGAAGTATAGCCATGTAATCAGCAGTAAGCTTATCAACGTTATTCAAAAATCGTACGGTAAATTTATGCTTTTTATATATGAAGAAAGTTATCTAGTTAATTCTTGAACTCTAAAACATTATGTAAAATTGTTATAATAAATGTGAAATTTGATTTTTGAAAAGAGAAAAGGCTGATAATTCACAGTAGTCGCCATCAAATTAATAATTAGTTTTTTCTGCAAAACCTCCAGGAATTGTGATTCCGAATCGAATTACACGTTCACATGCAGCAGGTAAGACGAGAAATGTTGTATGTCGAACCCCACGATATAATTTAAAAGTGAAATTAATACAATAATATTTTAACATTGAGATAATTTGTGAGCATAACAAGGCAACGAAAGAAATAAGTTACATTGACAAAATCAGTAGGAAAATAATAGGAATATTAAAAATGGTCGTCCAACGTGGGGCATAAATGAAAGTTATCAAAGATAAGCAGTTATGTTACAGTACAGAATATTTGTATTCGAGGACAGCCTGATATCAGAAGGAAGAGTTACAACTGATGAGCACTACGCTATTATGCACAAGTAGACATTGTTGACACTGAAGAAAAAATACCACACTATTGCAATTGAAGGTCTTCAATCTATCAATGTGGTTGTACAATGCTCTGTAACAGTCTAAAATGAACAGAGCCCGGGAAACTGGCAGGGAATATTGATATACTAAAGTGTATCAAGCGAAAGAGATTCTCAAGTAGCAGGAAGATTTATGACAGAAAAATCAATGTTTATTTGTGTAACACTGGACTGTAAGGCTCACAAACTGTAATATTGTTTTCTGCAACTGGTTTGTAATGTTAAGAATTATTAAATAAACACGTGCTTAGAAACAAGTGACGTTAGGAGAGGAGATTAAAACTATTAAATTTGTTAGAAAGCAATAAAGCAGCACTGGGAATGTATTGCATATGCTATTTTCTACAATATACTTGTATGAACGCATTTTGAATTTTGGCGATTGATTTCTTAAGTATAGTTGGCAATATGCACATCGAAATTATTTGAATGAGGTCACGCATATTTGACGTTAGTGCGAAAAACGGCAGTGCTGTTTACCCCAATTTTTCGAGCAATAAACTAATAATACGCCATTAGCAATGGCATTTTATAAACGAATTTTTGCTACGAAACTATAGTTTGTAACGCTCACAAACAGAAGTTGTTATATTGTGTTTGCTGTGCGATAACTTAATATTGAATGATATAATAGATATAAAGATATAATTGAAAAATAGAAAAATAAGTAAACTTAATATTGAAATATTACTTATTTTTCTATTTTTTGGAAACAATAAGATGTTTACCCGCTTATGTAACAACAAAGCAACACGATCTTCCACACGCCAAGGAGCAAGAAAAGTAGCTCCAAACTTCAACACCGCTTTGTACTCCTACTAATGGAATATTTTTGTTCAGTGTTCAAACACACGACGACGTATGACTAATAAATAAACGTACTAATAAGAATATCGACTCCACGAGAGAAATTTAAAATACTTATCTCTCTGGCTCAACATTTACTACAAAAAGAGCTGACCCTCCCTCGCACCAAACTTATCCTTTTGTAAAGTGTTGTACTGAGAGAAATATGCCAAGTGATAATCATCTAGACGGTAAAAATGCACCGTAGAGACAAGTTGTTAACCATTAAGAAGCGACTTTAACCTTCTGAATGAAATAAACACAACATAATAATTTTGAATTGTTCGCTATTTCTTGTTGATTCCTTTTCTCTGTTGTATTTCCTCCGACATCCATCAGAACACTTCTCTCAGATCTGAATTTGCCGTGTATACAAACCAGAATTACAACTACAAATGTATCGCATTGGAAAAACGCAGTACGACGAAACAGTTTTTGGGGGGTGGGGGTAGGGGTTGGCGGCCCTGCGTGGGGCCGGGCGGTGTGTGTGTGTGTGTGTGTGTGTGTGGGGGGAGACGAGACTCACCTCTCCGCCGGAGGAGCCTCCGGGCGTGCGGCGGGTGTCGTGCGGGTTGCGCGTGGTGCCGACGGAGCCGTTGTACGACTCGAAGAACATGCACAGCTCGGGGCAGTTGCTGACGAGGACCGGGATGGCGCCCGCGGCACGCACCCGCCGCACGGCCTCGGCGTCCGTCTCCGCGCGCCGCCCCTCGCGCCGCAGCGGCAGCAGCCCCGCCGTGTGCGCCAGCCCTGCGCACCCCCCCAAAAAACATGGGTTTAATAAAATCAAACACGTTCTCGAGAAAGAACCATTGTACGGAGCGCGCGAGGAAAGTCTCTCTCTCTCTCTCTCTCTCTCTCCTCCCTCTCTCCTCCCTCTCCTCTCTCTCCTCCCTCTCTCCTCTCTCTCTCCTCTCTCCTCTCTCTCCTCTCTCCTCTCTCTCATCTCTCTCCTCTCTCTCCTCCCTCTCCTCTCTCTCCTCCCACTCTCCTCTCTCTCCTCTCTCTCCTCCCACTCTCCTCTCTCTCCTCCCTCTCTCCTCTCTCCTCCCTCTCCTCTCTCTCCTCCCACTCTCCTCTCTCCTCTCTCCTCCCTCTCTCTCTCTCTCTCTCTCTCTCTCTCTCTCCGCGGTGGCACCTTGCTTGGTGAGAGCGGTGGCCATAGAAATGATGTTGGTAGCACGAGCTGCAGGTTGAAAACGTAAATTATGTAATCACCGCAATCGTAACAATGGTGTCCCGTTCACATGTTTGCCAGTAATCTGGTTGCTACTAACATAAATGCAATTTTTAAAAGGAGGTCGTTATTCGGCTTAGTGTGGAGAGACCTTCTTCTGCACAGTATTGCAAATATTAATAACAATAACAACAATAATAATAACAACAACAACAATAATAATAATAATAATAATAATAATAATAATAATAATAATAATAATAATAATAATAATACCAAAAATTCAATGTACATTTCTACTGTACCCATCACATTATCGTAAAGTATTATTTATAAACTACTAGTGGACCCGGTAATGCTTCGCTGTTGCATTGAATTGCACTTCACACGCCACTGGCCACGTGATTCTTAATCGCATTTTTCGCTACGCTCTGAAACAAAGATGAGACTTTCTCCCCCGAATGATTTTGTTCTATGACCTGGTTTTTTCGTGGTTGTCAAGTATCCTAGAGTTAAAACTTTCTCCCTAAACTGTGGGCTTGCATTCGGTATGACATTGACTTGGAGAAATTAGCTTTATTTGTCCCAGATGACGTTTAAGTAATTATTCCGGCCGATATTTCACAATCGCAGGGGGCAGAATATGTAGCAAAGACCCGCTTAATACTTGAGGGCGCGGCGGGTTGCGTAGATTCTGTTGACGGCGCTTGCAGCATAAACGCATAAAATCATCAACGCGCCTCTATACATACGATAGACGCATATGCTCCTTGTACTTTACATATATTGTTCGTGTTAGTACAAGCAATAATTCGACAAAGTTTTATTGCAATCAGATGACAGATACAGAGGCGCGTAAAATACGAACAAACAAACAAACATGTATTTATATATCAGTAATAAAAAACAAACAATGGCCTCTTACAGTTCAATTGATTTAATAAGCAAGTATTACGTTAGTGAACACCACCAGGAACCACGCACGTCAGACGAGGCATTGCGTGTGGGGAACCAGCGTGTTCTGGACAACGAGATGAATAAAAACCGGCTCTTCTTCCTTATCGTAATGACCGTGAAGGAATCGGCTGACTACTACTAGAATATAGCGAGCAACACGGCCCCGCGAGCGGAATACAGCGACTTATTGGTAACTTCAAACTTTTACGCGGTTTTCAAAGTTTTTGCTGTTGTGAAGCTAACAATCTTTATGCACGCCTCCCCTCATTAAAATTAATTTGTTAATAACTAAAAATTTTTTCCTGGAAGTAAGGCCATTATGGATACTTTTTTATTATATACTTAGAGAGTACAAAAGAATTATTGAAAGTGATTTGCACTATTCACTGTTGTAATTACTGAATTTAATTAATGTCTGACAAAACGAGGAAGGAAAATTACAAGAAACATTACACATTGTCAGTTCAGAAAAGCAAGCATGATGGATGGCTTGTTTCGTGTCACACGGTTCAACAAATCTTGGCAATAATTTATAAATGGCAATGGGCATCTCATTCTGGAAATTTATTCTTGATCTATTATTTTCTTTTCATTAACGCCATGGCCGGAAATTAGAAGTTCTCGCACCTCCCCCCTAAAACTGTCACGCCCCCTGGATACTATAACGTCGAAAATTAAAATTTTTACAAGAAACGTAAAAAAGCACAGTACTTTTAAACTAGGAGTGTTATATAAAAAATTGACTTCCAAAATTTCACAAATTGGCGTATGTAGAATATCAAATCAATTAAATTTTTATCGATGTTGTTAGAGTGGTTGTTATAGACATAATATGTTTTGCTACAACCACAAGAGGAAAATAAACGTCTACGAATGTTTTTATTGTAAATTTTGTTGGGTATTTATATGGATGTTTAATAAAATAAAAAAAAAATGACCACTCGTTACGTTTTACCGATACTTGGAGGTAGAAATGACGTTCCGTTACCTTTGTCTGTTCGTCAGGGTACGTACGTTGATTATCTTCTTCGTACAGATGTTGGATACAATGTCAAAACGCTGTTCCCCATTGACTTCTGAATAAGTGTCATACGAACACGAAGAAAATTAACATGCGGAGATGTTGAATTGCATGCTAGGATATACCCCCAATCTCAGCCCATGATTTGCGAGGTAGTGAAACTAACGTTCGAGGGCATTGACACACTGTGTTATCAGTCTGCGGCGAGTTGCAGTGTTACTGCCGAATTCACCAACCTTTGTCGAAACGGCCTTGATAGTCATTTTCATGATCGTGAAATATTTGAACCCTTATTACGTTAGACTGTCACTTCGGGGGTAGAAATGACGCTCGGTTAGCTTTGGCGATTCGTCAAGGAACATACGTTGATATAGGCTAGTTGAATTACCCCGCGTTGACGGGGTATTTATCACAATAATTCATTAGACAGGAAGAGGTATTCCATCTATTCCCTCCACACGGAGCCTACTTGTATCAATTCTATTTGCATTGCCGCTACGTCTTGCTCAACCTCTCTTTGCCTTGCTTCCATCTGGAACTGCCCTGTCTTCCTCACCCACTTTCTCACTAATATTTATATTTTTTAAAATTGAAAATTAAATTTAAATTGATTAAATTTAAACTGATTAAAATTAAATTTAAATTGAGAATACCGCCTCCCAAAATACCCTCACTTTATAGCTAAAAATGATAAATTTTTGTAGAATTTTGTTTATTACTTTCAATCGGTTACCACATTACAAACCTTATAATTTTTGATATATTTTTCTTCTCCCGTATTCACAAATAAAAGTTTGAAATTGACCTTTGACCCCACTCCGAGGTACCTGAAATATAATGAAAGTAATTTTAAGGGAATTCGATTACGCGTTTTAGGGTACTGGATAAATAGTGGCTGAAGGAAATGTGCCATTAACCACTTAGACATTTATAATATCTCCAAAACTTCGAGATCACACAGTGAATCCTGGCTTGATAAGTTTTTCTGTTATCTAAAATAATATATTTTGTTCTATTTTCGACAACATTGACACACATTCGATTCTTTCCATTTTTTCATTACCCTTTTACTTCTATTATACTTCTTTTTACCAAACTTCCTGTCATCAATTTAAATTATCATTCCTTCACCACCTAAAGGTACCTTTCTCCACTGTAATAAAACACTTCCGTTCAAAAATGCATCCACCCGTCACAGTTTCAGCATAACACGTAAACCACTTGTAGGTTTTTGCTCGCATTGTCGCTCGTGCCACTCGCAGATAAATAATAATCATGCTTAACTTACTACAACCAAATATGTGCACATTCACACCTTTTTACGACAATATTAATCAGATCAATCAGGAAATGATTTCTTACAATCATTTCATATTTTTGGTACACTTAATACATTCACGCCTAGGTGAATTAAAATAAATACCTAAGTTACTTTTATAAATAGAGCGGAGAAAAACTCGGCCATTTAAGATATTTGATAGTGAAAACAAACAGTCTTGTGCTACAAATACGCATTTCTGAGCACTGATGAACTCAATCGTTATCTCCATCGTTATCGTCGGGTGGCACGCAGTTGAACTATTGCACACTGATGCACCCCTGAATCTGTGATGTAATACTAGGCGAGAAAAGTCAAGAAAAGTAATTATTTTCTAAATCCATTAAGGTTTATGGTTCTAAATCATAGCCTTTAGTATTCATGACCTTCAAAGAAAGCTAGAACAAAGGTTTTATCGATAGTACAGTCGAGTACATTAAAAAATTATCGCGCTGTAACATAACGTCTTTATATATTAGTACAGATTACTATATGAAGGGGCCCACAGTGGCAGCTACTGCTTGTCTGCTGTTGGCAACGTAACTGCAGGTTACGTCCATGCACTCATTTTGTCAGTGCAATCCTTTAGAGTTAGCTCATTAGTAAAATCACTCTCTCTTGCACTGCCATCGTCCTGCATGACGATCATATTTGTTTCCGACCTGACAAACTGGTTCTTTCTTAGAGTAACTCCTCCATATAAATTAATCGTACAGAGGTTAGCTAATGACAAATGAGGACATAACGTCAAATGACATGAGGACGACAAAAATGAACACGCGCTGAGATTTTAACATCGCGCGCCGGGCGTTAAGAGTACCCCCTATCTCTAGGAGTGTAACAAATAAATAAATAAATAAATAAATAAATAAATAAATAAATAAATAAATAAATAAATAAATATAAAAATAAACACAAAATAAAATAATAAAATAAATAAAAAATACAATACACAATAAACACTTCGGAAGGGCACACAGTCAGGAGGCTGTGTTACTGACACTTCGCACCGGCCCGAGCTCCCTTGACGGAGACGGCCACGCCGACAGCAACTGTTTGTCGCGCCCAGGCCTGCGGTTCGGTGCGCCGAGACGCGCCGCCAGGGCGTCGGCGGCGCGCGCCTCCTGCAGCGCGGCGTCGAAGCGCTCGTCCACCACCGCGTTGAGGAGCGGGTCGACGGCGCGCGCGCGCTCAGCGAACGCCCGCACCACCTCCTCGCTGCGCACCTGCCGACACACAGGCGTTCGTGATTCCGGGCGCATCGACTGCCAAGGACGTGAGTCCCGGAAGTGCAGGGCATGATTCTTTTTTTTTTTTTATCAAGGAAGGTGGCGGTAATCATCCCCGCTGGACGCTGAGATGCGGCTCCGGCCTACACGTCGGGTAAATGCGATATTCTCTAACCAGTTTTCTCACTCCTTCTCGCGACACCGCCCCACCCGGGACAAGCTCAAAGCTCCCAACAGGTCTCCTGTAATGTGTGGTAGTGTGCTGCTTGTTAGTGAAACTGTAAGTAAGGGGGTGACGATTGGCCAATGAAGAGGAAGGAAACCGCGTGCTGTTCGTGGCCCGTTTGTTAGGGTACTGCTTCGGCATTCGCCTGGTATTGATGGGAGAAACTACTGATCAGACAGCCGGCAGCTAGAATTCTCCTCCAGACAGTGACTGAAATCAACCTAGCCTGCAAGATAGTGTCGTAAATCCTGCCACCGTCGGGACTCGAACCCTAGGGCCTCCGGGTTAGAGGCACTACGGTGATATCAGTTGATAGCCTCAGCCACTTCTCGTTCGTAGCAACAGAAGAGATGGTTGCAGAGCACTTTACATTTTACTTTTAAAGCCCGTTTGACACGGTTATTTTCAGTACACGAATCGGATGGAAAATGGGCGTTCGTTATGACGCGACTCATCCGGAATCGAAATTAGCGAACAAGAACCTGCGTTTTTACACTGTCATTTAGTTTTCTGCTTGTAATCGTGAAGAAAATATTTGCTCTGGACGCAACCAAAAGCGCTGAAGAGATGAACCAAAAGCACAGATGAACGTAGCATCTATGGTAACCACTTAAGTTAGGCTTTTTTAGCACTAATCACGGATCAAGACAATAGAACTCATCAACAACTTTATTTCTCACTACCTAATCCCTTCAGATTGTAATTCATCACATTAGAACGCTCTCGAAAGATGTAAAAAGGAACAAATCGCAACACACGCATAGCAAATTCGAAACACACGTAATGAGAGCGGTAGTCAAACGGGATGAAATTTGTACAGAAAAAAGAAGCATCCGTAATTTTTACATCCCGTCTGGTCCATCACTTTTACGCAACGATGAAGAATGATGAAAAAATGACCGTATAAAACGGGCTTATGAATGATGCCCCAAACGACATTTCCACAGGGGTCTCAGAATAAATGTTACTCTTTCCCGAACATGTATAGGGGTCGAAAATGATCACATTTAGTCAGTTAACATGTGGTGTAGTATCGCCTTCGCACGCCACGACCGTTAGAAAAGCAACAAGTAGCACACTGATCCTAATAAATAGCTACAGAACATTTAATAGTTAAGTGTGAGAATGGTGCACCGAACTTGCTAAGAGGTCAAATATCACATTTTGTCAATTAACATATAGAAGAAACTTTCATCTGCAGTCCTCACCCCCACCTCCACCCCCCACGCCTCATGGCAACACCTCGATAAACGGCCCTGACCCTCACCCTAATAAGTAGCTACAGAGCATTTTGGGAATGGAGTACCAAACGACATTTGAACAAATTTCTCAGAATAAATGGTACAACTTCTTGAACATGCAGACGGGACGAGGTCAGAGAACGTAAATGATTAAAGTACCCTGCAAAATAAAATTATCTATTTCAAATTCAGGGAATCGCGACAACAGCCAGATCAATTGGAGAATACCAATTTTGGAGAAAATCGGCAAAACGGTTTATCCGCTAGCGTTGTTCACACACAGACGGTCTTACGTTTTGCTGTCAACCAATTTTCGGTACCAAGGACCAACAAGACATGGACTCTTGGTACACCAGGTGTTAGAGGATTTTTTACCTAAACTTAGCAACTGAATTTATCCGAATTTTCGTTACCAGGGCCCTGTAAGAAGAGGGTTTCTACCGAAAATTCACTGATATTTCGCGCAGCATTACGGTAGTGGTAGCGAGAAAGTAAAAATGCTTTTTTAAAAAAATGCCTCGCCGAGACATCATGCAGATTGATTAGGGAATAATTGTGGAGAAAATCGGCTGAACGGTTTAAGCACTAGCGTTAACCAGAGGCGGCCGAACAGACGTTTTGCCGTCAATGGATGTTTCAGTATCACAGACCCACAAAACATGAAAGCCCACTAAACAACGTGTTAGAAGATGTCTACGCCAAAATTTATCTATTCTTTCGATAGAGCGCTGCAATAAGAGCTTTTTTTCAACTGCAAATACATTTCCGCAACGAAATATATAAAACTATCTTTAGGGGGGAATGTTAATTCTATGGATTAACACGAATAGAAAAATAATTAAACTATTACGACTGGAAAGAAGTAAAACAATGACCACCGAAACTCGCCTCATACCGTAGTTTCTCAAAACTGTGCTCTAACCTCAACATCGCACTACTCTCAACTCCGCTCCAGACCAGTGTCGCGCGCTCAATCAGCTGGAAATCATCGCCGTCATTGCCGCACTTTCATTCGTGGAGACGCTTCCCGATCTGGGCCAAGATACATGTTGACCATTCTTCCCGTTCCCGTTAAGCTTCGCGTTCGCGTCAGCTGCCAACGCCTGCCTGATATGCCCGTCTTTCAACTTACGATCGCGTTGCCGTTCCCGTTCGAGAGCCTTTGTGGAGCGCCCTTTTTGGATCTACGCCGGCGTCATCGTTTTAGATTCTGGTGGACGTACGAGGAACACGAAGCGGCGCCTGAAATTACGACGGCTGGGGGTGGAAGCGGGTCTGTAAAGCACATCGAAAGTCGTAAATGGAAGAAAATAGTACAACACATTACCATGCATTGGTTGTAAAGAGTGACTGAAATTGTTGATTAGTAGGCTAATTTGTGAATTTCAAATGTGCTTGCTTGTTTGATGTGCTGTTTCAAATAATTACAAACAGAATCAGTTGAGTGAGTTTACAAACACTTGTGTAAGATTGGAAGGAGAACACTCTTTGGGCAACGCGTTGTGAAGATAACGTCAACCTGGCTTCATGATAGGTTTATTTACTTATTTATTGTCAACAACAATAAAAACTGAATGCGGCTTAAGACGAAGTTCAATTTTTACACGCTTTCCTCAGCTTCCGTATTCGTTTTCTCTCTCTTTCACGAGAAATGGCGACGATCTGGTTAGAAAGATGCTTTAATGTTCAATGTGTCTTGATGTATAATCAAAACCTGAGCAGAAACTAAAAACAACTTACATAATATTTCGCCAGAACAAGTCCGAGCACTGTCCCATAATCAAACCGAATGAATGTGTAGAGTACACAATGACATTATGCAAGATTTATAATAGTTTTCTCTTGCGAAAGTGTCACTACGCAGGTGGCTGAATGACATGGCAGCTTGTCGTGTGAAGACCAATCGATTCGGAGATTCTGATAAAATATAAAAGATGTGTCGTTAAGAAGGGTAACATGCATTTTTTACAATAAGTTTCAAGAAGAGAAAAAATACCATCAATTTATCTCTAGGAAGAAAAAGCTGTTTGCGGAAGTCATTTGATTGTACGAAAAAACTGCATGATACACAGAACTGCGAAGCTCCTGTACTAAGGTACTAATACGCTCGACGCACGGAATGCAATATTGCCCTTCGGGACAATTCATATTTAACTGGCGATCACAAGAAAACATGAACGAATAATTCACAGTTGCTTCGGAACACTTAAGGCATGAAATGGGAGGATAAACAAACTAAAATTGAGAACAAATGAATATGAATATTTAATATTTAACTACTAATATATTCATTAGCTTTCAATTTTACTGTTTTATTCTTTAAACAAAATTACTGGGAAAGATGAACAGGCTTATATTAAAAAACGCTTAAAGTCTTGCACAAGATTGGCAACTTTTAATATAATAAACTAAACATTTTGAACTTGTTGGATGTTTTGCAGCACGAATGGAAATCATGTTAAGTCAATAGTTTTCATTTTTATTTTCGATTTATTTCGTGAATGAACAAAAAAATGTATGAGACGTTTAGGGGAGAAGTAGAATTTATTTGCATTTGCAGAGTTTCTAAAGCTCTGAACTTCCTTCTCTACCTTGTAAGGCTAAATAGATGAGTAATGTAAACCCGTTATTAACATTTCAAATAGACATTTTCGCTCTCGAATTATGGAAAACTGTTTTCATTGGTAAACGAACTTCAGAATTGCGTGTTTTTTTGGTTAATCAAGATTATGATGTTGCCAATGCAAAAGCTGCTTCCGGTTATTAAAAATGTGAAACGAGTATAGTTAAAAGGAAAAAATGAATTGCATACGAGTGGTTACTGGTTTTATCCACTCCTGGGCGGCATTTGAATAAATAATATCTCATATGCAGTGTAGCCGGTTACTTGAAAAACATGAAAGTAATACGAGGTTCCAATAATACAAATACAAAATTCGAAACCTCATTTAAAGGAAGCTTCTTTGAAAAAAAAACATTGCCAATTTGTTTAATAAATATGTATTGTTAAGTGACATAACATTACACATATATTGCAATACTCAATGCATTTAACATAATCAGGTTAAATGTTAAGAGGCGGAAAAAACACTGTAGAAGGTTGTTTTCTCTATCGCTATAAGTTGGCTTGGCTATGGTTGTTACTAACTTCTTGGTTACGGAAAGAGAGATGGTCATAAAATTTTACTTCTCACATCAACCCTTATAATAATTAATTGATTCGTAACTGTTCAGATATGCCAAATATCAGTTCTATGAAGTAGATTTTCTAACCCCAATATGTCAGTGGATCCACAGGTGGAACAATAACATCTACTTATGGTTCTCTAAAGCGAAGTAGGTATTTCAAGGTTCAGGTATTTTGAAGATTCGATTAGGAAAAACTAAGGAGGGGACATTCAGAAAGATATATTTTAGGCTGTCATTTTTGGAATTCAAAGTAATTCTTTTTCTTCAATTTTCATATATTATATATATATATATGTATATATATATATATGTATATATGTATATATATATATACATATATA